CTGTGAAATACCGGATACCCCTGAATTATCGTGAACTATGTATGCCTTTAGCTCTCCACTTCTGAATGGTATTTCAGACGGGGCGCATCCCGAATACTGACTTACCCCAAAGATCCTATCCTCATTTTTGGATGGCAAAAATCCTTGTAAATCACTAGAAAGGGTCAAAAGAATAGTATGAAGCACAATTATCGCTGCGAACAAGTTTGAGTCCGGAACGGCTGATCCCGGAGACAACGAGGATTCTGTGGGCCGCGTTAAGATCTAATCTAGCGCTAGAAAAATACAAGGCTAAGCCTTTAACCGCTGCTTAATCTCCGCAGAGACATCAATCAAATGAATTGACGATCGTATGGAGGACTTCATAACTATATAGACGGTTCCATGGCCTACATCGACCTCCGCAACCGACCTGGTTTTATCCAAAATTTGAGAGAATCGCTAGACGTGAACGCTCACCGTTCACCACTCGTCCGTGAAAAAGTGCCACTGATAGTTCGGCGTACGGTCAGAAGCGAGTCCCTCATCTCGTCGTCTATTACTTCGACGTACCTCTCATTGAATGACTAAAACACTGTTGTAACAGTGGGTGCAATGTACCCCTTCACCCCCAAGCCTTACCTCCATCCACAGGGTTATGGCTTCACGAGTTCCTTCTTCATCCAGTACACATAACTGGCTATCTGCGTATATGTGTACCTTGAGCAAAGTGCCAGCTTCGCCAAAACTGTCCAACTGGGCCGTCCTTAGCCATCGGGCAGCATCTTGATAAACCTGGAACAAAGTTCTTGACTTATTTAAATGAATAAGAAGCAATTAGATAATTTTGGCTTTTGGAAAAACAGTTCTGGCCAATAATGGAGAAGACCAGCATGAAAGGATCATGAGGGAACTAGCGCGAGAACAAAAACTATGCGCTAAGCGATTACATAGTGTGGTGGGTCGTAGGGTAACGAGAAGGGACCATCTCCCAGACCACGCCGACCAACCCGACCACCATCTAAAAGACCAAAACATGACGCCAAGCAGTGATAAGTAAGCCATCAAAACCCTGAGAGAGGAAATACAGGGTCCTGGTCCCGTTATGTATACAACTGTGGAGAAAAGAAATTTCAGGTTTGAGTTTGAAGTCCAATTAGCGGTATAGGCGGAGAAGTGGTTTCCCTATTTCTTGCACCATGCTGATACTTCACATAAAAGTTCCCTTGCATTGTTGGTTCCATACTTTACCTCCACCTCAGTACAAGTCAGTTCAAAAACATGGCTCAAACGAGGCCGTGGGGCTTGACGGCCATTCCGACAGCAAGGGTGCTGCAATACCAACCCTAGGACCCTCCATTTTTTCGAAGTATAGAAAACAAAAAATTAGAGGCAAAAAACTTACAGGTAACCAAGTGTGCAAGACTCGGATAGCATGACGAATGACTTTCACAGACTGGTCTCCTAGCTGCCCTAGTAGGAGACGAAATCCCCAATCGGAAAAGTTTGGAAGACGCCGGTAGGCCAGTGTGGAGAGGAATCGTGTACACCAACGTCTAGCAGTCTATAAATTGACGAGTAAACAGCAAAAATCAACGGAATCGAGTTCTTTTGCCGATTAAAAACTCCAAATAATCTTGAGCCGAATAGCGATTCCAAGAGTATTTACTGGATCCAAGCCACTATCAAACTGTTTTTAGGGGGTCAAACGAGGTAGTTCGATAGTCCACGATGTTCATGATTGCTTCTTTGTCTTCA